ATCTGATACACAACCAGTGTGGCGGGAAATATGCACTTCATCAACTACATATGTCGGCAACAATATAAGGAAATTTTCACTTTCTACCCGATTTCGTATATAAACTCCACGAGCTGAACCTACTAGCTGAAGACAGCAAACATATATTCCTCCAACACTGTATAAGGCGGGCTTTTGGAAGGTCCACGCCCATAGGCCTTGCAGAGAGGCGGCCCAAAGATGATATCGGATATTGCGCTCTCTAGTTCAACCCTAGCGCCCCGCCCCAGAATTTTTCGACTACGGCGATTCCGAATTCCCCACTTACTTGTTTTCGCATATGAGCATCATCTTCGAATTTTTCCATACCAATATCGGCGATGCACTGGATAACTTTCATATACCGCACCGAGATCGCCTCGGGACTCAACGCCAACATTACCACACTTCGCACTAATAAAGAAAAATATAAATTTCAAAAACCACAGCCGTAAACTCACATATTTCTCGGTTTGGTAATCTATCTTGGTGCTGATACCATAAATCGAGCAAATCAACAGCCATCATAGGGTCCTCCGTAGACGCGGCTCGCTCATTGAGGATATTCATGACGTGATCGAGTAGAAGCTCTGCATATAATAGTTGACAACAGCCTGAGACTTCTATTTCACCTCTTGTGAAAGTCCCCGTCTCCTCGTCAGCATCAGCCAGTTTAGTTGCAGTTGTCGGTTTAACCACTAAGTTGAGCAGCGCTTTCGTTGGAGTTTCCTATCAACAGTTCAAAATATGAATTGAAAGAAATGTGGTATCAGTTTCCCATTCCTATCAACAATAAAGTTTCACCCTAGTGATATGAAAAACATATTCCACGACTACTGCATATCACCGCGAATATCGCGTTTTACACCGAGTATTACGCCACTTCACATAAAACGGGTGAAACTCCAATAACCACCACAGCTAAAATACGAATTGAAAGAAATGTGGTATCAGTTTCCCATTCCTATCAACAATAACCTCCCACAATAGTATATTAACTATAATAGAGTCTCACCCGTTTTACGTGAAGTGGCGTAAAACTATTTATAACACGAATGGATCTATGGCTAATTATTAACATAATTATATGTATATGTATACAATAATATCAATAAGGTAATTATATTTAATATAACATATTTATATATGTTTATCTACCGTGAAAAACGCGATATTAACAATAGTTGCGGAATATGTTTTTCATATCACTAGGGTGAATCTCCATTATATTGTATTATTAAAAACGACAAACTACTGATTCATCTCCCTACCAAGGACATTTAATAAGGTATAGAAGTCAATAAGAGTGTAGACGGATGATTGCATCCTATTCAAATGGAGTATTGTGTTTGTTTCTGTGCAAGATGTCTCCTTTCCCATTGCTCCGTGTGGCAGTGCATATCTTAGCCTAGCGTCAAGTGAGCCTACTATTGTTTATATTGATAGATAAGTTCTTTCTATAAGTCCTCTAGTTGTGGCGTTCCCTCAATAGGAGATAAGGAAGGCGTACCGACCCTCAACAGAATTGAAAAAAGTGTGGTACCAACCCACTTCTCACCTGTAACTTATCTCTCAAAACCTCCTTCATAATTTCCCTATCACCAACGCCCAATTTATCAGCACACACTAACGCGGCCATAGTCAGAGCCCTCAGCCTCTCCGGATTCGTAGTTATATCTTCCACCAACTCCTCCAAAGCTGGGCTTCTTATCCCATCCTTATAATCGAATTTCAAATGGTATGCGAAGGTCAACACAAAGTTGTCGTAATTCTCATAGTGCTTCGGAACCCGTACCAGAACTTCACCAAATTCTTCGTTGGTCGTTTCCTCCTCTCCCACAGCTGCAACTACACCCCTGTGCGAAACGCCTCTTTTCAATGCATCCGATACCACAATTTCTGCTAATCTTTTTAGATAAATCGGTTCACAGCGACCCAAGCGAGCCAACAACTTAACAGCAAATAGCTGTACTAAGGGATACTCCAACGCCTCCGGGCCTCTACCGATGAGATTATCAACAAGATGATCAATGCGATCTGATGAAAGTACACGCTTACGCATACATGTGGGGGAGAAACACACAATATCTTCAAATCTTTAAATGTCCTATCTATCTTTAAATAGATAATTAGATGAATCTCATTTATCTTTAAATCTTCGACTCAAGCACATATCATCATACGAAGTAAAGTTTCATCATTCTCAACGACGAGCTTTGCAATATCTATTCATTTCCATTTTTTCAAAGATCGCTTGTTACGATAGATAGAAATCCCCGGGGAAATTTCGTCCGTATACCAGAACCGATTTTCCTACAGTGTGAAGACTGTTTTCAAAAGTACGTTCAGAATCACGCCTTCCCACCACTCCGCGATGTGACAGAAATGTGGTATGAATTGATACAATAATTTACCTTTATAAAATGGGTGCACTTCTGTCAGCTTTATATCTTCCAAGTGACTAAGAGTCCTCAACAAATGTGATGGTTGAATGCGATCGACGTTCGAGAGCGCAGCATCTGAGGCAGTCGAGAACTGTATCGGGGAAATATACACATTGTTGATGACAATATGAAAATTCTGCTAGGAAATTTTGGGAAATTCTCATTGGTTTTTCGATACACTTCTACCTTAGAGAGCTCCTGAGCTCAGCTGAGGCAAGCGAGCACATATTTCGAACTTGATACTACCACAGCAATTCCACACCCAGAAAATCAATAATTTCCTCGAAACTCCAATAAAACTATTGATAGTTAAAATGATTAACATCTGATATAATTGAGTCACTCTCGAGAGCTCCTATTCTACTCTGAAACTCCAAATCGACATCGCACCAAACTCAACTGGTAAAATATTGCAATTCCAAAATAATAACTTTTACGACTAGAAATTGTCAGAAATTCCTCAAAAACTGCTGATGATTTTTTCCCAAACGACAAATTCCAATTAATTTCCAAACGAATGAATATGAAGGGAAAAAATTTCCGATTATCAATATTATTAAAAAATAATAGAGTTTCACCCGTTTTACGTAGAGTGGCGTAATACTCGGTGAAAAACGCGATATTTGCGCCTTGCAGTAGTCCTGAAATATGTTTTTCGCTAGTGTTTTCCATATCACTAGGGTGTATATATAATAATTCTTAAAATTCAAAACTTTTACAAAATAATTTTGCCAACATTATCCCACAATACTTCATCTCTCCTACAGCGCCCCCCCAGCATCACCATCTTACTCAGCAGTGTGCCAACCACCCGAGCACTTCCCAACATCGGGTCTATGTTCGAAATGAACTGCATCAAATTCGTGATAGTAATCCGGCACGCCTTTTGATTCTCTGGCGAAGCAAAGAAAAATCTAACAGTGTTAATAATGTTCGCCACAGTTCGTCTCGGTAGTTCCGAATTCGACTGGAGTCGTTTTAGTAGTTTCAGTGCTTTCACAACAACTTCCGCTGAAAATCAAAAATCCCTTTCCACAGCAATTGAGTTAATCTCTCCTTACTAGAAAGCTTCGATCGTTCACCGAACTCAGCCGCCACAGCTTGTTGAAGCGGAGTACCAGGGTGAACCACATCAGCTAATCGGCCTACCTCCATCTCGGAGAGGTCTGATAAACCTCTGAAGAGAAAGAACGGTATTCATTAATGAAGTTTCACCCTAGTGATATGAAAACACTAGTGAAAAGGGTATTTCACGACTACTACATATCATCGCGAATATCGTGTTTTACGCCACTTCACGTAAAAACGGGTGAAATTTTATCAGGATTTTTCCAGTGTCCCCACGAGGAAGATTCAAAACAGCTTGAATGATCTCAACGACCAATTCTACTATCAACCAAAACAGACAAAGATTCTTTTCATGCCCCCAGAGAAAGATTCAAAGCATGTCCACTCACCGTGTCACCAATATATTTTCCAATTCTCTCGTAGCCGCGTTATTCCTTCCCAGCGCTTTCTCCAACGACACATACGCCGCACTAATATCATGTGGATCCAGATCTCCCGCCACCGCCATTGCTCTCACTCGTCGTACCAATTCTAACATCAACAGAAGAAAATCTTCCCAGTGCGTAAAGATACGCTTACCTCCTATAAGCTGCTTAGTCACATCTTTTTCATTTTCTTTCCAATTCCCTACTCCAACCCGCGTGGCGTGAATCGCCGCTAGTTTCTGCAGAGCTTGTAAAGCGACTTGAATACCCAAACTTGGTGGCGGCATCGTCCTAGGCTCTCCCTTTCCCTTCAAACGTCTATCCCTATATTCCTCCTCACGACGAATCACCTACGAATTCCGACAAGCTATGTGCATGCGTGCAAACAATTATAATATATCCGACCTCTCCAACAACAATACAAATCGAATATACATATATTCCATTTTCCGACTACCATACTCAGTAGAAAAAATATAAATAAAGTTTCACCCTAGTGATATGAAAAACATATTCAACGACCACGGCATATCACCGCGAATATCGCGCTTTTCACCAAGTTTTACGCCACTTCACGTAAAACGGGTCGTGAAACTCCAATGATTTCAGATTCACCCCAAAATTCTCTATCCTATGTCATTTCCATTTTCTTTGT